AAACAACATTGTTGGAAACGGCAACATAGAAAACATGCAGGACAGGGGTTTCTGAGGACCAGGGTTGAGAAACACTGATCTAAACACAGGAGGAGGTTAAGAGAGAAGCTTAAAATCTGTATTGAAGACCAAATTAAAGTTATTAAAAGCTTGTATGAGCTTTGAGATTACTGAAAACGGTGGTCCATTTCGCCAGTATTTATTTTTTCACAAATCTGTTGGGGAGACATTTTTTCTTGTTCATCAGAAAGCCCTGTGCTCTTGACTCATAAAAAATGTAAGGCTTTCAAACATCTGGAGACCTACAATAGTTTTGTTTTAAGGAAAGTTGAGCCGATCTCTTCTGAAAACAGAAAGCGGTGGTCATGCTAATAGCAGCAGTCAGCTTAGATGAGCAGTTACAGCGTTGTTTATGGCCAAAGAAAACCGATAAATCCTCACTGCAACCAAGAACGGATTATAATACGGGCAGACTGGCACAGGTCCAGGGGCCCACAGCCACAAGGGGGCCCATGTAAGCAGCAGTCTTTTTTTGTGTGTGCAGCAGTCTTAATGTTGGAGAAAAATGTTGAGAAGTTATTAAAATTGCGCCCACATTTTCTAAGTTAACACACATTTCTTTTAACAATGGTAGTTTCTGCTTCAGCCCTCTCCCCCTGCTTCAGCCCTCTCCCCCCTCCCCCTGCGCAGCGGCCGCAAACTCACTGATGCGCCTGCAGCCTCTCAGAGTTCCTGCTGCTCTAAACATTAAAATAATTATTTCATTTTCTGTTCCTCACTTCTGATTACCTTCAATGGTGTCTGTTTGTAGCAACCACCAGGTACAAAAACTAACTTGTTATTATTTGACTATTTTTCTGTCCTGCCTGTTTATTATCTTCCTGCATCTCCTCTCAGTCCTAAAGAAAAACTGCTACCTGGGTTCATATATATTCACCTTATGAGTTACCTTTGAACTGCAGTTCTAAAAGATCTACCGACCGCAAAAACAGCGATCCGTCTTCCCTAATGTGTTTGTGGCCCTGCGGATTTTTCTAACTCTACCTAAATTTCTTATATGTACCTCTCAACGTAGGACTCTGTCATAAGGGTATCGCACCATCAGCTATGTCAGCCCAGACATGAGCAGAGAAAATAGAGACAGAATAGAGGATAAATGTGTCTGGATGTGGATGGAGATTACAGCCTGATCATCATTTAAATACGTAAACCATCACCTGTCTTCTAGTCCACGCCATCAGCATTATTTTAATGTGTGTGTGTGTGTGTGTGTGTGTGTGTTTTCCACTTCAAACACTGGTCTAACCAACCAGACCAGCATGTCCAGTAACACATTAATGTTACAATTAAACAGTTTAACTTCATGTAGGCTAGGAACGTTTCACCTGCCGTGGCCCGACCGCTTCTGCTCCACATAAACTTTGTGCGTGATCAAATGTCTCTACAGGAGCTTTCTGAGCTGAAGAGCTATTCTGCCTCAGACTGGATGCGTCATGCGTCTCCATACTGGAGATGGGAACAAGCGCTGTTCAGCCAAAGTTTCATAATCGGAGAACATTTTTCCAAATGACACGTCCCTCAGAGAGACCGCCTTTCCAGACCGCTTCAGTGGGAGGAAATCTTACTGCATGCGTCGTGGTTCTGCGCTGCGCTGAGAACCCCTCTACAGACCTTCAGCTCACTGTCCACCGTGGGCGCTCTGAGCCTCGCTGAGCACAGTGTCCAGTATAAAGCTCTGATGTTCTGATAGGAATCTTTTCTTGATTTATTTAGTTACCTCCGCGATGTGTGTAATGATTTAAATGTCAGCTCATCTGTATCAGTGTGCGTCGGAGTAATTCTTTCAAAACATCCAGCATCCTTGAGTTTATCCGTCAAAGTAAACAGTCAAATGGAAATATCTGTAACCTGTTATTTAACTGTTTTGCCTTCTTGTGAAGATTGTTGCAAAGAGAAACAATTAAACTTGATTAACCCCATAGCCATGCGCACTGCGCTGTACTTCTGACTGTAAAGGAGGGAAAAAACCGACTTAATCGGATCATTTTCTTACCTTTTCAACATGGTTTAATGTAAAAGTTTCATTCAGTACAAACTTTAGTTACACCAATCTAAAGAGACAGAGCCTGGATTTGTATTCTGAACAGTTTAAACATGTTTAAAACGGAGACATGCGTGACGCGTCTAAAGTTCGCACCTGCTCCGCTATTATGGAAATTAAACTAACAAGATGAATAACATAATCATTTTAGGCACAGACAACACCCCCCACACTTTTGAAAAGCTTGCAACGCGCTTGCTACCAGTTACAAATTGTGAAGGGGAACGATTTTCACAAATGGCAAGAATAAAAAATGAACTGAGAACAACGCAAACTCAACAGCTCCTCAGTGCACTGTCACTGATGGCTATTGAATCTCAGCTTGTCAAGAATCTGGACTTTGATGACATTGTAAATGAATGTACTAATAGAAAGGCCAGAAAGCAGTTTTTCTGAAGGCAAGAGGAGACCAACAAGAGGAAACGAAAGAGGAGGAAGGAGACAGGAGTCAAGATGACGGAGACAGGAGTCAAGATGAAGAAGGAGACAGGAGTCAAGAGGAGGAAGGAGACAGGAGACAAGAGGAGGAAGGAGACAGGAGACAAACAAAAAACAAGCAGATATTTAACTTTTGTGTCAACATAAGTAAGCGAGTTTTAATATTGACAATATTATGAAATGTCTTAAAAAGTGCTTCTGGGTGGCAGTAATGTTGGGGGAGGCCGGTGGGGGTGGGGTGGAGTGGGCCCTAAGCACATTGTGCCCAGGCTAGAGGTGGGAAAAATGATCGATTCTAAGATACATCGCGATTCAGCCATGCATGATTCTGCATCGATGCAGCAACGTGACATAATGAGATTTTCTCCCTATGTCTATGTTCTGGACATGCGAGGACAATAAAGTTTTAAGGTTTTACAATTACTTCTGGGGGCAGAGTTGCAATGACATGCGCACTGCGTTGCCCTAGCGCCAATTTAAAACAGAAAAGGCGGACAGGGATACAGGGCCAACATTACCAGTAATCAAAGATGTACCCGTTACATTTAAATCGGATGTCTGGGCTAATTTCGGTTTTGGGATCCTGGATGAGAAAGAATCACTTAACACAGTATTTGTTTACTATTTTTAAGTTCAGTAATATTCTATCTTAAAGCTGCTCTATACCAAAAACATTATTTCTTATATTATTTAAGTAATTATAGGCAGCACACTTAAAACATTATTGCTCGCTATAGTGAATAGATGAATGTTCTGTTTTTCAGGGATATCGAAATAAAAAAAAATTGAAAACTATTCTACTGCTTTTATTAAGTAATGAAAAATTTAGTGTGAAGAATCGTGATGCATTTCAGACTCAAATCGAATCTTTAGACAGATAATCGGAATCGGATCGAATCGTGAGGCAGGTAGAGATGCACACCACTAGCCCAGGGTCCCCTGCAATGATAATCTGGCCCTGACCGCAACTGCAAAGCTGGGTAAGTCTTCCTTAATCTGTCCTTATTTATTTATTTATTATTGTAATGATTGCAGGTTGAGACAGATTTAAAAATACATGAAGATGAGTGTTTTTAAAAACATCTTCTCTAATTAACGAATACTTATTCACAAGGACTTACCATGGACTAAATGAACCTTGTAAACTGTCCGTTGCTGCAGGAGTCTAGGTTTTCTTCGGAGAGTCTGGGTCACTTCCTGTAATCTTAATATTTTGCGGCCGTTTACCACGTTTATCAATAAAACTATCAAGCCTGCCACGGGCCAAACAACCAACTACACAACAAGAATGATCCATCTACTAAATCCTCCTCCAAACATGCAAAACAACCGATTTAAAGCCAAAATATGCCGTTTTTGCCACGCACTCCTGTGATGCAATGCGAGCAACATTAACACTGACGTCACAAAAGATATCCGAAAACTATCAAGTACAGTGTGCAGAGTGGTGTCAAATGTGAAACTGGTCATTTCTAACTCAACAGTCACAGAAATCTAAAGCTCTACTTTAAAGTAAAAAAAAATTTGTTGCTACTAATAAGCAAAAATATAAAACTGATCAAATCATTTTTTTAAAATAATGAAAATTTTATTTAGGTTTTTTCTGTTCAAATGCAATTTTTTTCTATTATTCTAGTTTGATTACTAGATCAGAATGAGCAAAGTCCGAAATCCAGACAGCGATAAAGCACTGTGAATGAAGAGAAGATGGTGATGGTGTGTGAAGATGGATAACAAACTTGGTTCAATGTCAACAATCGGACTTGGCTCTAGAGCAGGGGTATTCAATTCCGGGCCTGGTGGGCCGGTACCCAGCACGTTTTAACTCTGAACACACCTGATTTAAATCAGCAGGTAATTAACGGGTTTCTGCAGAGCCTGATGAGCTGGTGCACAAGTGATTCAACTACCAAATCAAGTGTGTTGGAGCAGGGAAACCACTAAAACATGCTGGATACCGGTCCTCTGGGACCAGAATTGAATAACCCGGCTATAGAGACATGAATGTCCCTGAAAACTAATAAAGTTTAAGTAAGAGTATAAGGTAAAGATCCCTTGGCAGGTAGGTACAGATAAAATGCAGATCACATCTGGTGTTGTGCAAGTCTGGAAAGAGTAAGTGCATCTGACATTTACAGTAATATTTTTTTTATGTTTTGAAACCTTATATATTTTTAATTCATGAAATACATTGGTAATCCTCTGGTGTGCAGCCTAAGTTTGCTATAGAATATGCTGTCACCATTTTTGTGTCCAAATTTGTTTCCCAGTTAAGAAGTTAAATGCTAAAATAAGGGTTTTCAGCTTTCAGGCGATAATGTACACCTCTTAAATAAAAAAAAAAAATAAAGTAAAAAAAATTATGGGGTAACGCTCCACGCCGGTGGGAACCACCGAAGACAACTGAATGGCACATCTCCACGGGGTGACACAATTCAACACAACACCGGCAAATGAAGCCATTTCATTGGATGAGCCGCTTTCGTTGAAAGGGGCGTGAAGTTTGTTGCTAGCTAGCTGTTAGCGCTCTCCTGAGGAGTGTGATACACAGCGAAAAAGGAGATTTAAAATTGCGTCGTCTGAGGTCTCTGTAGCCAATTTGGTTCCTCTTGTGAGGCAGACTGTTGACTGGGCCGATGGATGAAACCGTTTTGTGAACTGCTCACCCAGCCTCTGTTGGCTAATTGCATTGTGGCGTCAATGCTAACTTAGCTAGATAGCTATATGTACCATCGACATAAATATACGATATGTACATTAGCCGCGCTGGGCTAGCTAGAAGGTCTTAACAGTATTTTTATAGAGGCGTCGTTGTTGAAACGCTGCCTGAATTAGACCTTATGCAGGAATTAAAGTGGGCTTTAGTCAGCCAGTTGGTTAGTTTAGTTATGGTCGTCTCATTTAACAATCTAACATGCTTCCTTAGCTTGAATCAACGGTGAGCTGCAGCTGCCTTGTAGCAACAACAGTAGCTAGCATCTGCTTGGCATTGTGTGGTAGCAATGTAATGCTAGCCATTAGCAAAGTTGGTGACCTCACGCAGCCATCGCAGGTGGTTTGAGCTGTTTTCTGGTGTTAAACAACGAAAACGTCATGTTTTAAACCAACTTTAGTTCGTTTAGTTTTGGGCCGGGTTTACGTTGTTTGACCGCGTCTCGTGTCAGGTTAGCTGCCTGATTACTATTGCTTGTAATCATGTAAAACTAATGAGGTTAGGAGGTCAGTAATGTGACGCTGCAGAGCTGGGACGCCATTCGAAGTTCAGAAACGGACAACGCTGTTGAGCAACATGAACAACTCCGGGGTGATGCCTCAAGAAAAGATGGAGCTGGATCTGGAGATCGCATCTTCGCTGGTTCAGGCCGACGGACACCTGAGGAGATCCAACAGTGCACCCATGATAAATGGCCTCAGGTCTTACAGCGCTTACGATACTTAACTGTAAAACAAACGAGAATCAGTGAATGCGTCGACTTTTCCCACATCTGAGTAAAAAGTCTGACTGTGTCGTTGCAGCGATAACTGTCAGGTTTTCCAGAGAGAGGTGCTACGCTGTCGCAGAAACAGCACTACAGTGGTTAACAGGCCCAACGTGGTATGTGTTCTTCACATGTTGAGTGTTATGTCTCAGTCACAGCACTGATTCTTTCCTGTTGCCTTCAAAGGTGCCCTCGTCACCCATCCGCATACCCAGCACCAGACTCCATCAGATCAAACAGGTAAGCGTCAGAAGTTTCTTCAGACATAAAGCAAAGTCTGTGTTCAAGAATTAACACTTTGGATTCATCACATAATGTGTCTGAAGTGAATCCCTGGGTTGCAGAGACATGGTGTTTTTAATCCCGATGTCTAATCTGTGCTTTTTCAGGAAGAAGGAGTAGATGTGATGAACAGAGAGACTGCTCATGAGCGGTAAGCTAACGATCCCTCCAGCTGGTGGAAGATCAGACTCGGTGAAACACAAGGAAGTCGTGATTTTTCCATCTTTGTGCACACAGGGAAGTCCAAGCCGCCATGCAGATGAGCCAGTCCTGGGAGGAAAGCCTTAGTCTGGTAATACAGCACCCCTCTTCTCCAGTACTGCTGGTTTATTGTTAAAGTTGTGTTTTGAACATGCATGCTTTTGCTCTCGGTCACGTCTTGGTCTCTTTTGGCTGTAAGGAGGTCAAGCAAAAGCATGCTAGAGTAGTGGTGAAACACTGGGGAGTTAACAGGGCCGCCAGTCTTTCAAGGTCAGACTGAGTTGGTAGTATAATACTCCCACAGGCCTTTTACGTGCTCGTACATCTCAGCGCTGTTGATCTGATGCAGAATCTGAAGTGTGTTTGATTTTGATGCCTTCACAGAGCGACAACGACTTGGAAAAGTCAGCGTCGTCGTCCCCAAAGCGAATCGACTTTGTGCCCGTGTCTCCGGCGCCGTCTCCAACCAGAGGAATAGGAAAGAAGGTAGACCTTTGTGTATTGTTGGGAAGCACGGTTCTTAACTCTGCGTGCTGACGTAGAAACGAGAGGATTTACGTCCTCGTGTTTAAGTTCTCTTTACTGCTCTAAAAGTTCAGTAGCCCTTAAAAACGTTCAGACTTCCGCTGAGTGGTGTGTAGTCGTCAGGTTGTGGGCCTGATGGAACACCTCGGAGAGATCCTGTCCAGGATGAGCGGGATCCAACTGGATCTTGGCTGCCCACATCCTGGTCCTGAAGTGAGGGCGGGTTACAGCCGAGCGCCCTATTGGCCGAGAAGACGATTCGCTGCAGCCTGCTCCTCTCCTCGGCCGATTACTGACCCACCATACAAGCACTCGTATGATGCTGGAAAAAACACGAAAGCTGAAAGACACAAAATAAAACAGCCACGTGTTAAAGTCATCAGCCAAATTTAAATATGAAGTTAAATCATTAAATAAAAGCGACACTTTGAAGTTGACACCTCGTTGGTGTCAAAGGTCAGAAGGAAGAGAAACCAGACAGGAAAGGTCATTCCGTTCTTTAGGATCAGACAGCAGCATCACCCTTAACGTGTGTGTGTGTGTGTGTGTGTGTCAGGGTATCTGCAGGTCCTTAAAAAGTCGTAAATTTGCTTTTCCAAATTTAAGGCCTTAAAAATCCTTAAAAATTACAAATAATCCTTAAATAGTTATCAAAAGTCTTAAATTACCAAAGACCCAATAAACAAGATTCTTTTATTTCTATAAAATTTCCATGAATTTCTAGTTAGTGTTCAGCATTTTTTGTGTATGGTATTGGCGTAAGCGGAACCTTGGACGTTCGGTTGGTTGTGAAAGGGGGCTATTTTTAGATGAGCACATTAAGCTAGTGGGAGTTTGCACCATGGGGAAGTGCAACATTAATGGTAACCGGATGGCTAATCCCACGTTCACGATGTGGTTAGCACCGGTTCCAGGCAATAGCTGGAAATTATAGCTCAAATAAAAAAAATATAATAAAAAGCTTAAATTTGGTCCAAGTGGCCTTAAAAAAGGTCTTAAAAAGTCTTAAATTTGGCTCCCTTAAACCTGCAGATACCCTGGTGTGTGTGTGTGTGTGTGTGTGTGTGTGTGTGTGTGTGTGTGTGTCAGCAGCTGACAAGGCCACTCCGAGCAAATCATTTTAAAATGCAAAAGCAGCTGGAGCAGTGATGGAAAATGTGTGTAAACGTCATTAGTCTCTGACTTTGTCCCCGTTCTGGGGTCCCCCCCCCCCCCCCCCCCCCATGCAGCAGTGCTTCTCTCCATCACTACAAATCCTGGTTAGCAGTAACGGCCTGACGCCCAGCTCCATACCCAGCCCAACACGCCGCTTCAGGTCGGTTTCTGCTCCTTACCGCCTGCCTGCCTGCCTCTCGGTGGTGGCGCTGCAGATTTCAGACTGAAACCTTGTTTTTGTGCTTCTCCAGCCGGCGGAGCCAGAGCCCGATCAACTGCATCAGAGCCAGCATCCTCGGACCCATCAAACGCAAAGGTGAGACGAGGATCGCGTCTGCAGCTCATCCACGCATGACTTCTACGACTCAGAGAAAAACGGAATGTTTCAGTTAAAACCTCCACCTAGTTCAGTTATTGGGTGTTTTTGTGCCACTTTATTGGGAACGGTAGTTCTCGCTTGTACCACATGACGGTTCGTCTGTCAGACGCACCAACGTAAGCTCTGTTAGCCCTAGCATGAATGGGTTTGACTCCAGGGGTGGAACAGTCTCATTTCCTGAGCCGTTCGTGACAAACCCACACAGGCACAACTATTATGGTCTGGATTTTGTCTTTGCATGGAGGAAGATAAAGATGTTGTGTGAAACATCAGTGGCTGATCTTTGGGTCTTCTGACTAATAACGAATACAAACAGTATATTTATATGCAGCCCCCCAAGACTCTTTACAGAGAAACAAATGAAAGTCCACCACACATACTTTAGTAACTTCAAAACTATGTCTTGGTTTTCTCTCCTCAGCTGGTGAGATGGAGACAGAGAGTCAACCTAAGCGTCTCTTCCAGGGGACAACCACCATGCTGTCATCAGATGTGTCCCACCTGTCGGAGCTCAGCTCCTGGTAAGAACCAGAACAACCAGCAGACTCCTGCTTGGACTTGGAGCTCAGTCAGTCCAGGAGATGAGAGGAAACGCGGAGAATCCTTTAGTGTTTAATAAAAGATAACTCGAGCTCAGTTATTCTCCAGTAGAGGAGCAGCAGGGGGGGGGGGTTTAAACTCTGAGACAGCCGAGTCCATCTCCACCATTAAAACTGCGTCTAGATCAGCCCCGATGGTCACACACACCCTCCACGGGTAGCTTCAGACGGAAAATGTGTTCATTTATGACATCAGGAAGTCTGTACGAGACCTCCCGCCGCCAGGATCCGAGCGTTTCCCTCCTGAGGAAGCCACTCGGCCCCTATCATCCCCGGTGGCCAGAATATTCCACTTGCAACTTCTGACTGGTGGGCCGCTGTTGGGGAAAAATCGAGCAGACGTACCTGGAGCTGCAGCTTGGTTCCAACACGTTTCAGATCATAAACACAGCTGACTTGTCTAATTTGGTGATGAACCACTCCTGTAGATATTAAGAAAGGCTGGGGAGACATTTCAGCAGATAGATCAGGTTGTTAGAAAGATGAAAGCACAGCGAGGAGATGGGTTTTACTTCCAGTTCTACAAACAGACACAAGGGGGCGCTATAAGCTAGCCAAAACTCCCTAGTTCCCCTTTAAGCCCTAAAGCTGGCCCATTCAATTCCGGTCCTGGAGGGCTGGTATCCAGCATGTTTTAGTGGTTTCTCTGCTCCAACACACTGGTGCAGCAGCTCATCAGGCTCTGCAGAAGCTGTTAATCACCTGCTGATTGAAGTCAGGCGTGTTGAAGCAGGGTTAAAACAAAAACATGCTGAATACCGGCCCTCCAGGCCTGGAATTGAGTAGCCCTGCCCTAAAGGCTCTGTGGCTCTCTGTGCTTCTGCTGAAGTGACTTATTTCTTCTTCTTCCACAGTCACTCCCCAGACCTGCTGGACGGCAGTCTGAGCAGCCTCAGCTCCTCCAACGACTCTCCGGGCAAAATGGAGGGAGTGTCGCCCTCCTCCTCCAGCAACTCGCCCTTTGCCTCCCTCCGGGATTTGTCTCCAAAGTGAACACACACAGACGTCCCCCACACGCGGGGACTGGCTTCCTCCTCTTCTGAGGAAACCCCGTTGTCGGACCTTCCACTTGTCTCCGCTCCACGTCCCCACGCTGACCTCCGGCCCGCCGTTTCCACTCAGCGTGTGGAGCCGAAGCCAGAGGAGTGAAACACTGTGAGCACCAGCTGCTAGTCGTCCGTCTTGGATGGTGCTTGGTTGTATAGAGATGTTTACCCCCTCCTCTCCCAGATCACTGGACAGACAGACTGTTGGACATGTCCCTTTGCCTTTGTGTGGACAGTCTAAAGATTTTGTAAGAAGATTTAACTTATTGCTTTCCTGCTTTTGTGTGAGTTTGTACATAGGAGGCGTGTCTGGCTGTAGCTGTTGGCTGTGCGGTGAATGTAACCGCAGACGGGTGGTTTTACCACTCCGGGACGTCCCTCGTGCTGTTGAAGAAGCTCTGGTGACCTGTGGTGATTTCCTTTCCTCAGGATGTTGGTCTGAAGCTGGAACGAGCGTTTGGAGCATCCAATCAGAACCCGCTGCTCGCGTCGCTCTGCACTTGTTTCCTGTGGTTGCTGTCTGGACAGGTTCTGTGCATACATACCAAGTAAAGAAATGCTTGGTTTTTCCCCTTCTAGCAAAAGTGTTCTTATTTGTAAAATTTACAAGTGTGTGCATATAAATATGAAATATATATATATATATATAAATGCAGCAGAGGGCGGTCCATCCGCTGCCACATTCAGTAAAGTTTTAAAAAGCAGCATTTAGAAGTAAAGGAGCTGCTTTTGCTGCTGCGGTTCATCAGGACGCCGAGTTCTGTAGTGTTCATAGCCCCGCCCCACCATGCCGATCCCTCTGCTCTGCAGCCTTACGCGTCCGTGTGCAGAAACAGGTGATTGTAACTGGTTTTCCCTTTAATTTAAAGAACGGCCCACAGTTGCTTTGCTGAATGTTTATTTTTGTATTTTGCCGAGGCGGCCCACGCGCCCTGCTGCGTTTGCTTTTACTGTTTAGGGCAGGAATTAGCACACCGTGTTAGCTGTCTGTTATAATCTGTGGAGCTGGCCAACACCTCGCCTGATGCTTGTGACTTTTGTGATCGCCATCGCAGCAGACGTCGGCTTTAAATAAATTATTGTTATTAAGGTGTGTGTGTGTGGTGCTGATCCCTCAACGCCGACACAAGTCCTTTTACGGGACACACGATGAAGCGGATGTGGAGAAACGCATCAGAAGTTGCTGTTGGAGGCCGTGGGGTTCGCTAGCGTAACTACCTGGATAAAACTAGCCAAAACGGCAAGAAAGGTCCACATACACAACAATGGGATTTTGGAATGACCGGTGACATGGGCCTGCCCCCTTTGAACTCTGGTAAACCGTTCATGTGGTTGTCATGGTAACCTTAACCCAGACCTACATTTCTCTTTTGGGTGTGACGTTCTCTCAGCTAGCTTAGATGAGCATGAAAAACCTTTTTTAGTTCAAATGAAGCAAAACGATGTTCAATAGCCAAAAATGAAGTTTTAATTCATAATAAAGTATCTAAATAAAAGTAACTCATTTAAACTGAAGAGAATAAAATGTTACTGCTAGAAGCCGTTGTCCTCGCAGGGCCTCAGCCTTAATTGTTGCTATGGTTACCCTCATCATTCTCTGGCTGATGCTTGAACATTTGTCTTGATCGTGTTTCTCTACAGTTTTTAGAGTTGTTAGATTTTCGGGCAGCTGCGTAGGCACCCTTCAAATACTTTCTAGTTCCCGTATTATTATGGTCTGTCCTCAATCGGATTCTGTTTACAAGCAAACATGTCGGCTGTATTCAGGCTTTTATTAAACACATGACGGAGCATAGATATATTACAGCTGGTGAATCACTGTGGAGGTCCTTCAGTGCACATGCACTTCAGTCTGCACAGGACAGCTTCAAAATAAAACACCAACATGACGGTTACAGGAAAACACCGGTGTGTGTTCAATAGCTTTATTTACATGCATCAGGATTCCTTCACTCATGTCACAGAATGACGACTAAAACACAGAAGAGACGGGGGGGGCGGCCCTCGTGTTTCTCAGAAACTACCGCCCCCGCTGACCCACAGGACGTGCTGCAGGTTCTCCCAACAGCTCGGAACACAGCTGTGTAATTAAAGATAAGTGTCTAATGATGTACGTCAGAGAGGGTGGTAGTCCATCCTCATGGAGGCCTGGTGGAGCCTCTGGGTCACTGTAGAAATGTCCATCATCCCGTTTCAGCTCGGAGCACTTCAGGTACGAAGGATGACCATAGTAAGGAGACCTGGAAGCCATCAAACATGGATAATCATATTAATCTAAGACCATCTTCTGTTGGGATGGAGATGTAGTCACAGTTTAATAAAACGTAGATGCTTCAGTTATCTTATTGTGAAGGACTGCAGAAAACGCTGAGCAAAACTAAATTGACTGGATTTACATTTCGCTAACTTTAATCTGGGAACAAGGCAACAACCCTCCTCTTCCTCTTCTGAGTAGCCTTGATCCTCCCGCAGCACCTCCCGCACGCCACGTTGCAATATTGTTAAAACGGACACATTTACAGCTATTTCTGTTAACTGGTATCAATAAGCTGTGTTGTACAACCTCTGATCCTTTCATTAGAGGCCAGGTGTGAGCGCGATTTCCTTTCTAACTCACCCAGAACATAAGCAGCCACCAGCTTCTTGTTAACACTTAAGTGGAGGTAGACAGGCACAGTGGATTCCTGCTCCCCCAGCGTGGGGAGCATCAGGGCGGCCATGCACACCAGTCCCAGCAGCACCGTCAGCAGACTGGGTCCTCCAGCAACTGGACGGCTGTCTGCTGAACACACACACACACACACAGATGAAATACCAAGAATAAAGTAAAAAGTCCCCCTGATGTGTGTAAAAGTCGAGGCCCGAGGCCTAAAATAGGTCAGTCAGTGGTAACTAAAGACTAGACAGACATCATGCACGCCTCCTATCTATTGCTTTATTTTATTACGTATGTGAAATAAAAATAAATAAAAATACAACATGATGGGCCTGTGGCTCCACCTAGTGGTGACAACGCATCTACTCACCGGACTGAAAGGCAGACTGTTCAAAGAACTCGCCGTCAGAACTCTGCTCCTTCATGCGGCGCTCCTCGTCTAGACTCCGCGATCCGGGCGGCTCCTGCGAGGCGGACGGACGGAGCGTGGCCGTCACCTCTTTGCGGCCCAGAGCCTTTCGCTGACTTTGCTCCGACACCTGCAGTCTGAACTTGTCGTACACCCCATAATGACAAGCCCGGACGTCCCGGTGCCGGATCACTCTGTGTGGACACGGACAGTGTTACAGCTCAGGACGAACCCACAACCAACACACACACACACACACACACACTCACATGTCAATGCAGCATTGTGGCTTGACAGCTCCTGTGGAATCGACCACGGTGTACTTGTTTGGCGCCGTGCACAGCACTGAAGAAAAACAAACGACTAAAGTTGTAGCTCGACTGGAATGCAGTGATTTATCACTAAAACCGTGTTCAAGTCTGCTCGCTGACCTTTGAACTTGAGGGCGAACTCATAGGGGTTGTAGAGGGTGAGCACCTGCTTGTGAGACGACTGCTCATCTGCGTAGAAGACGAGCTCCGTGGGGAACACGAACACAGGAAGGCTTCCTTCCACCAGCTCAGGCTGTCGATGCTGCTGCTGCTGCATTGGCTCCAGCTCCTCCTGGTCCACGCTCAGCCTCAGCCCCCTCCCTCACCGCTGCTCCAATCACCGCCAAGCTGCTTTCGCTCCCTCCAGAGGCAAAAGGCACGGCTCTCAGCTCCTCAGGACCACCGCATGTTACTGTAAAGAGGCACGAGGATGCAAAAGCTACAGAAAAATGTTTCCATTCATTATTTTAACAACAGCCTGATTACTTGTTGAGTTAATGCACTAACAAGTACGCCCGGTCTGACCTTACTAGTAACATTCTGACAGGACTCGTCGTGTGTTTATGGTGAACACATGGACCCACAGCTGCAGCATCAGGTCCTCTCTCCCTGTTCTGCAACTTTTGTTTTTCAAACATTTGTGAGTTTTTCCAGGTAGATTTTTGACTTTTTCTTTTAAATATTTGATTTAGAAATCTCAGAAATCATGCATGCTTTTTTTCTGGAAATTGTCTTTATATTATTCAAACTCTGTGAATTTACAATGTCAGAGAAATTAAAGTTTTATTTCTTGCAAATTTATTAGGGACGGACAATATATCGGCATCAATATCGGTATCGGCCGATGTTAGTTATTTTTTAACATATCTGTATCGGTTCCATAAATCAAACCGGGCCGATATTAACAACCGAACTTTTTTCCGTCTTGTCTCCATTTGTCTGTTTCAGAGGGTGAGGGGGTGATGTGTATTTGTTTAGTCATGTGAACAGTGAATGAAATCATCTCAGAGGTGTAAATGTGTGTGGTGTGTGTGCATTATAATGTCAATTCAGCTTTAATCATTTTCATTCTATACAAAATCTGCTGATTTTAGAAGCATTAAAGTTAGCATATCGGTATCAGCAAATATGGATTATCTGGCATATCAGTGGTCTTAATGCCGGATATCGGTATCGGCCCACAAATGTAATATCGGTGCATCACTAAAATTTATACATTACAATAAAATTGGGACTCCCCCAGAGGAGCTGGCCCAAGTGGCTGGGGAGAGGGAAGTCTGGGACTCCGCCTAGGCTGCTGCCCCATGACCTGACCCGGGATAAGCAGAAGAGAATGGATGGATGAATATGATGTTTATAATGGGAATTTATTTCAAACATAAGAGAAAATTAAAGTTTTTCTGGTGAATTGGTAACATTAATCTTAGAATTAGAATGAATCTTTCCTGGGATTTCTCAGAATTTAATAACATTTCTATTTTCTGTTTGTGTCACTGAAGTAAATATATGTCAGAGGCAAACAAATAAACATCTGAAGACTTGTATGTTTTTAAATGGTGAGACCCCCCTTCCCTTTTAAAAAAATAACTACAGCTTCTTCCTGCGCCTCCTCCCACAGGGGGGCGGGGGGGGTCTGGTCTGTTTCAGCTGCACAGCATGAATAGAGTACTTACATTTCATTAGCTGTATCATCTTTACACTGAGTATACATGTTACACATACACAAGTATGCATAGAGTAGACTTTATTGATCCTAACTTGTTGTCCTTTACATTTAGTCTCTCATCTTAAGAAAGGAGAAAGGACGCTTACAGCTCCTGACACCTGCTCACGTTTCCCTTCTTCAGACTGTGATGTTGGTCACGTGCACCTTTGTTTACAAGGTTCGAGCTCGAGCCACGAGACTTGTGTCGCAATACATGAATTGTCACCCGTCAACAAATCACCATAAACCACAATAATTAATAAAAACAATAGGTTGTGTACATCTTTGTATTGATTTAGTGATATAATCACAACATTTTGTCCAAATGTAGTTGTTATTCAGCGATGGACTGGCTCTCTGTCCAGGGTGTACCCCGCCTGATTGCTCATTGACCGCTGGAGATAAGCACCAGCCCCCTCGCGACCCTACATGGACAAGCGGGATGGATGGATGTAGTTTTTGTTTATACGTTTATGGTGGAAATATTGCTAAAATGTCATAATTTGAATCCAGCTATGTTTCTTAACACTTTATATTGTATTCACTAAACTCTGGCCCTGACTGCAAATAATATATTTATTTAGTCTGGCTTGCCAGGCTAATATTTTTGTTCTTCGTCTCATTAATAGCAGGTCTTTGTCAATAATGTGACTGTATATTAGCCTAGCATTAGCCGATAGCCACCTAACGTTGTTTTCACGGCGTGTCATCGCGGATAAAATATCACAAATTTATTTTATATCAAAGAAAGATGCGATCAGCACGTTACCTCAATGTTAGCATCTGGGTTTAAGGACGTTACCGACTAGAACATAGATCTACGCGTAAGATCCCTCCCTGTTGTTGTTGTTTCCTTTCAGCCGTTTTTCTTTATGCTGCAAGCGCCGCGGTGCATGCTGGGACAGCGGAGGGCAACCGAATACGCGATGACGTAACACGTTTATAACAAAATTAAGTGTTTTAAAACTTTATTAACACAACGGAATAATAACAAAAATTCCAAAAACAATTACAAATCTTTAAATAAAGTCATACCTCCAACAAGTTATCAAAAATGAAATAAAATAAAAAAGAGAAGAACAGTGCGTCAGATATTTTATACAAAAAGTAAGGAAAAGAATAAGGGAACAAAATAGAAGCATGAAAAACAATCCAAACAAATCTCAAAGAGGACCTTTTTAAATGAAAATGAGATAAAATAAATTCAAGAAAAATTAAGCGGTTCTAAGAACGTGTAAAGTCTGTAGCAAGGGGTTTTCCCAACTGTTTCAAAGATTTTTGTAAAAAGGAGAAATCATTAAGAGCATCCCATGAGGGATCTGGCATATCGACATTTGTGTATATAATATTTTGCGTTTATAATAAGACTGTTAAACAAAATATCTGTATTTTTATTTCATAAACTTACACTAAATTAAATATTCTGAGAGAATGAATATGTAACATGACTAAAACGGAGACATTTTATTAACAGGTGAAACTTTCGGATCCACCCGTAGTGTTCATTTATTCTTGAATGTGACTTCTTAACTTAATTCTTTCTTTTGTAAACAATGTTTTTATGTTGAGGCACATCATATGCGGATGTACCTGTGAGGCAAGCCGTTGTAACATATAATGGAAATACACAAATATGTATTCTACTTAGGATAAAGCACTCTGCGTGTTATCCAGTCTCAAGCTGGTGCTTTACAGCTGACGGACAATATATATAAAGCAACGGGCTGGAGCAGTTAGTGGAGTTGGTAATTTTAGATGCAAATAAAAATAATATTTCGACATCACATTTCTTTTTAAGAGTTAGTCCATCCCCCTTGCTTCATATACATTCAACTTACTCTTTTAGAGTCGTTAATTTCAAGTCCAAACAACGTCAGCAAAAAAGACACAGAAAAATCTTCACAGTAGTAAAATTATATTTCAAGGTCAGCTGAGTGTGTTTAGCCAAAACGAACACCAAACTATCGGGATGTTTTTAAAGCAAATAATAATTTTCTGTTTTTCAGAGTCAACAAAAGCAGTTCCGGCAAACAGAAAATGTAAAGGATTTCTGAAACTGAAAAGCAGGATGCACAACTTTTATTTTATTTAACTGTATTTAACCATAAAAGTCGACAACAGCTGCGATTCACAACTGTAAAAAGTAACGTTATATTGTACGGATAATTCAATTTGAATTACCTGAAAATAACTTTGTTGAAATTCTCGTTGTGATTAGAAAACTGAAATGCAGATTTTTGTTTGAACGTCAAGCCATCATATTTTATGACAAGTCAGCTTGCCACCCAGGCTAAATTTTGGAAATTAAGGACCTATTGAAGCTTTTTGAACCTAGCAAAGGAGCGAAAGACGTAGTGCGTGTTTGTGGAAGGATGGGACGAAAAGAAGCGGAAACCGTAACAATCCATCTCAAATATCTATTACAAACCCATATGTGCTGTAGACTAGCGATGACCTTTTTATATATTTATGCTAACAAGGGGCGTGGCTTGCCGTGTGGGGCTCGACCAATGGTGAGGCAGCTTTGGAAGCTGGGCGTTCCTATCGGTTAGGAGCAGAAGTTGAACAGCGCGAGCCGAGAAACATCCTGGCAGATACATAGAGAGCAAAGCAGCGGTCCTCATTTTGGAGGGGGGGCTTAATATAACAAATATTTATTTATACACACACGTGTGGAGTGTTTAGCCGCACGATAGGTCATGAGTGGGAAACAATAATTTTAGACAAGCATACCACTGCGGCTTTACGGTCAAAATGCCTATTTTACTTTTTCTGTTAGACACGTCCGCCTCTATGAATCAGCGCACTTATTTGGGTACGACGTTTCTGGACGTTGCGAAAGGCGCGGTTGAGGTCTTTATGAAGGTAAAGAACGACTTTACCCCGATTGTTCTCAGCAGGTTTGCACCTTTGGTGAGCTTAGGGTTACTTGGGCAAAACAGGTCAACATTAATTTATCTTGTTTTGGTCTTCTTCTTTGACAGCTGCGTGCCCGAGATCCGGCTAGTAGAGGGGACAGGTACATGCTAGTTACATTCGATGAACCGCCATACGGAGTGAAGGTAAACGCTAATAACAGTTTTACAGGTGAAGAGTCGAACGTATTTATCAGCCAGTGGCACTTTATTGTCCTTCCAGTACGCCAGTGGCGAAAAAGGTCAACATTTGCCCCAAAGACCCGCAAACCCGGAGCCGCAATGCCTCCGAACATCCAGCGGACATTTTGCTTTTGTGTGGAGAAAAGTCTCGGGCGTTGAGATGGAGGCGGGGAGATTTATTATCACCCTGTGACGTCGCTGTTTTTTTTTTACTTTTTCCCACGCGCCGATTAGCCCATTGGCCTGCTACTCTGTCACTACCCCGCCCCTTACGTCAACCTTGAAATGTGATTGGCCGCTGCTGCATGAACTCTGATAAGCCCTTTTCATCAAGATCTTCATCATCTTTTAATGTTAGACGAGTTCGCTAGAAAGGAATGATGTTTATTATTATTAATGTGATAATTATTAGTGCTGCTGCTGCTGTGAGCCTCACTCATCCAGTCACACGAGACAAAAGCACAAGTTTAACCTCTGAATCACAGCAATAATTTTGTGTTTTAACACCATTATTGAAACCGTCACCTCTTATGTGGCTTGTTTCATTACCTGGTGCACATTTACTCTGCTAAAAACGAACCCAATCCATGCTCTGATCGGTTTCATGCAGGGCCTAACTGGTGTCCTGCTCTCTACTTACTCCAGCCCTCCTCTAGAAGATGGATGGAATAATTGGCATTAGCCTTTAAGAGCATCCTTATTTTTGATGATCAAGACACAAAAATACTAAAGCCAAAAGATAAGATGAGATCAATGGCTGCACATTTCAATAATACTGTTATATAATATGTTACTGTAATAAAACTGCAACATTGTGAAATAATATGGTAACATGTACAGTTATTCTTTTATAACGTCAAACATTCAGACTTGTTGCCTATTAGAAATACAAAAGCCATTTTATTTTTACTTACACGCTCAGACAGGCTGATTTTCTTTCATTGTGTTTTAATAATAATAATAAATTTGATTTAAAAGTGCCTTTCAGGACAGCCAAGATCGCATTACAATAGGGGTCTGTGCTCATCATGGGTCACACTACTTTATTATGGTTGAGGGATAAAATGGGAGAAGTTAAAATTAGATTATGGCTGTTTTTAAATTGAAATCGATGAAAGTAGGATTCAAATTTCTGCGATGGACTGACTCTGTCCTGGGTGTACCCTGCCTGATTGCCCATTGACAGCTGGAGATAGGCACCAGCCCCCCCACCCCCGCAACCCTACGTGGATAAGCGGGTTCGGAAAATGGATGGATTCAAATTTACATCATTTAGGATTACTTCCAGAAACGAACAAAATTGTAGTCAGTCAGCCCATTCCAATTCATCCCAAACAAATAAAGTTAACCTGTGAACTCCAACAGGGAGGGCATTTGCTGTTGCTAGCGTGAGTTAGCGGTTAGCAGCAGCGAGTTGACAGGTAAAACCATCAGATTTCTTCCTGCTGCTTAACAACGATGCTTTCGTGGACCAGTGCATTGAAATCTGGTTATTTTAACCTCCAGATCAGGTCAGATTTGATCACTAGATGATTTTTTTGTGCATCATCTCCACTTTTGCACTGAAACAAAACAACAGGAGTTTTCACGGTAAAATGCTTGCAGGAGTGTAACGATGCAGTGTTGTGAGTGGGTGCAGCAGCTATCACAACAAGTAGTAAATGTGGCTCACAGACTCATTTATCACACCTCCATTAAATAAACAACAGTGAGATCTTCTTCCTTCTGAAAGCTGAATGTTTGTATCTCCTCTGTTGGTCGGAGGATAAACTGTTGATGTAGGGATGAGGTTGTGGCAGAAATATTCTGCTGCTGTGTTTGTTTCCACTTTCACTTCTCAGGGATGTTTATTTTTTATGTCTAGTGTTTATCCGGAGTTTTCCCAGAACCTCCCATTAGTAACACAAAGACAGTAGGAACTGCTGCCAGGCTGAAACTGTCACGGTGAGGTTTGTTTGACTGTTTCTCGGCAGAGGAAGTTGTGAGCTTGCAGGGCATCCACAGAACCCGCAGCAGTGAAACACTTGACCCTGAACGAGTGGAAGAGCAGGTTAGAGCTGGAGTCCCTTCCTTCACACAGCAGTGGGAAGTGTGTTTCTGGATTCCTGCCATGTGTGAAGGAACACTCTTTTCTTAGACGTCCAGCTCAAACATCGGCCTGATGATGAGTTTTTTATCTGGCTTGAGTTTCTTGAGCCGTGGTTCCTGCTACAGTCATCTGCTTGTATTTACCAGATTGTTTCAGTTTTCATTTGAAGTACTGCTGCATGCATGTGTGTGGGCATGCATCTATTTTGGTTTCGTGGCTGTTCCTGTTGCAGTGAGTCTTCTGCAGGTCGTCCCTCACACACCCTGTTCTGTGTGTGTTGCAGGCGGGCTGGAAGGAGAACCATGCTACCTTTATGTGTGAACTGAAGAACCTGCAGGCCTCTGGACTCACGACGCTAGGACACGCTCTCCGGACGGCCTTTGACCTCCTCAACCTCAACCGCCTCGTCTCTGGAATCGACAACTATGGACAGGTAGTCTAAGGATGAGAATGACTGATAAACAATCTGAATCATCAAAGTGATTCTTTTACTAATAATGGTTATGGATGCACACGTATGAAAACTTGGGCCCATATCAGTATCTGATATTTGCTGACGTTATGGCTGTACCTATAAGATGGACACACCTGTCACCAGTAGGTTTCTGAAGCCCAGTGGGCGGTTCCCACCACCACCATCTTGGCCACATTATGCATCTTGTCACTCCCAGAATATACAAAAAGGAGCAGAGAGCGGAGGTGTGAGGGTTGGAGCAGGTGATTGACACCCATCCAACTCTGACATGATGTAGCTACAAGCTAACTGAAGCTAACAGAGGGTGGTGAGAACTTTTATCCAGAAAGCCGTGGCTGAGTGTCTCAGCAACCCTCTGCCTTCTAGGCTGTAACGCTTTTGACATGAGGCTGAGGCCTTCCCTGGAGCAAGCAGGAGGGCTAGCTGCTAGCACTAGCGCTGAGAGCTCACCTGCTACCTGTCAATCAAATGGACACACCCCTAATCTTTAATCACATCTAAGTAGATGAGTTAGAAATAAACTCACCCCGCCAGAGTTGTCATGACGGTAAACTTCGTCTTCGTCTTCGTCTTCCTCCGCTTATCCGGGTCCGGGTCGCGGGGGCAGCATCCCAATTAGGGAGCTCCAGGCCGTCCTCTCCCCGGCCTTGTCCACCAGCTCCTCCGGCAGGACCCCAAGGCGTTCCCGGACCAGATTGGAGATGTAACCTCTCCAACGTGTCCTGGGTCGACCTGGGGGCCTTCTGCCGGCAGGACATGCCCGAAACACCTCCCCGGGGAGGCGTCCAGGAGGCATCCTGACCAGATGCCCAAACCACCTCAACTGGCTCCTTTCGATCCGGAGGAGCAGCGGTTCTACTCCGAGTCCCTCCCGAATGTCCGAGCTCCTCACCCTATCTCTAAGGCTGAGCCCGGCCACCCTACGGAGGAAACTCATTTCGGCCGCTTGTATCCGCGATCTCGTTCTTTCGGTCATTACCCAAAGCTCATGACCATAGGTGAGGATTGGGACGTAGATCGACCGGTAAATCGAGAGCCTGGCTTTCTGGCTCAGCTCCCTCTTCCCCACGACAGATCGGCTCAGCGTCCGCATGACTGCAGACGCCGAACCAATCCGCCTGTCGATCTCCCGATCCCTCCTACCCTCACTCGTGAACAAGACCCCGAGATACTTAAACTCCTCCACTTGAGGTAGGACCTCTCCCCCGACCCGGAGGTGGCAAGCCACCCTTTTCCGGTCGAGAACCATGGTCTCAGATTTGGAGGTGCTGATCCTCATCCCAGCCGCTTCACATTCGGCCGCGAACCTACCCAGCAAGAGCTGAAGGTCAGAGCTGGATGAAGCTAGGAGGACCACATCATCCGCAAAAAGCAGAGACGAGATTCTCCTGCCACCAAACTCGACACACTCCACACCATGGCTGCGTCTAGAAATTCTGTCCATAAAAGTGATGAACAGAACCGGTGACAAAGGGCAGCCCTGGCGGAGTCCAACCCTCACTGGGAACAGGTCCGACTTACTACCGGCTATGCGGACCAAACTCACGCTCCT